TGCTACAGTCCAAAGAACTCTAGCATCTCCTGCCAGCATGTCTTGTTAGCAAACTTCGGGTTCTGGGCGGCGTGTCCACTTGGCTGCCAGGCTCTAGAAATGATGGATGGACCTGGCCCGTGGCTGGAGGCATTCAACAAATATTGGTTTAATGAATTGTCTCCTGCCTTCATCGCGTTATCTAGCGGCTCTGTGGGCCGCGTCGGCGGAGACGGTCCCTTCCTCCCTCCAGGAGTCTGCATTGGATTGGGGGGAGGGGGGTCGCAGGTCGCTAGGCAGGGTGGGAGGCAGGACGTTTGGACAGAGCCTGCGTGTTCATGACATAGCTGGAGTGTCCGCGGACCCAGACACGGGCTGCAGAGGGCAAGGACGTGGGTGGAAGGTTCTAGATGGTGTCTCGATGGATCAGCACAGAGGGCAGGACCTATGAAAACAGGCTGCTGGGGGCTGGAGCGATAGCACAGCACGGAGGGTGTTAGCCTGGCACTCAGCTGATTTGGGTTCGATTCCCAGCATCCCATAGGGTCCCCTGAGCACTGCCAGGAGTAATCCCTGAGTGCATGAGCCAGGAGTAACCCCTGTGCATCGTTGGGTGTGACCTGAAAAGAAAAACAATTTTTTTTTTTGCTTTTTGGGTCACACCCGGCAATGCACAGGGGTTACTCCTGGCTCTGCACTCAGGAGTTACTCCTGGTGGTGCTCAGGGGACCCTATGGGATGCTGGGAATCGAACCCGGGTCAGTCGCATGCAAGGCAAACGCCCTCCCCCTTGTGCTATCTCTCCAGCCCCCAACAATTTTTTTTAAATCAAGTGGGGTCTCGCAGATTCCCTGAGCAAGTGTCTAAGGACCCTCTCTGCCGGAGTCTCTAGGAAACCACTCTGCCTCACCAGACTTGATGCTGATGGACACTCTTTGGGCGAAGATTTATCTGGGCTTTCAATCACTCAACTCCATCACTTTGACCAGCCCATCCCATCCCAATAGTCTTTTTAACCACGCATAGGGACTGGTACCCTTCCTGAACAAATCTCTCTCTCTCTCTCTCTCTCTCTTTCTCTCTCTCTCTCTCTCTCTCTCTCTCTCTCTCTCTCTCTCTCTCTCTCTTACACACACACACACACACAAGACTCTCTCCTTGATCGGAGCCCCGATATATGACTGGCTTTGGGAAGCCAGCTACTCACTACACGGGTGTGAATTTACACATCTGGCTGCCAGCCAAGGGCCACCCAGGAGACAGACCCGCTCAGCCTCCAACAGGATGGGTAATGTGAGGACCTGAGTGTCTCCAGGAGAAAGGAACCAGGATTCTGAATTGAAGCAAGAGTTTGATTATTTATTTATTTTGCTTTTTGGGGTCCCACCCAGCGATGCACAGGGCTGACTCCTGGCTTTGCACTCCAGAATTACTCCTGGGGGCTGGAGCAATAGCACAGCGGGGAGGGCGTTTGCCTTGCACGCGGCCAACCTGGGTTCAATTCCCAGCACCCCATAGGGTCCCCTGAGCAACACCAGGAGTAACGCCCGAGTGCATGAACCAGGAGTAACTCCTGTGCATCGCCGGGTGTGACCCAAAAAGCAAAAAATAAATAAATAAAAATTACTCCTGGCGGTGCTCGGGGGACCTTACGGGATGCTGGGAATCGAACCTGGGTCGACCATGTGCAAGGCAAACGCCCTTCCTGCTATGCTATCACTCCGACCCTAGCAACAGCTTGATTTTAATGAGGATAACCACCACTTAGGACTGCTCCACGGGGGAGAAACACCCTTTAACTATTTGCAGCAATTACCAGCGTGGCCTGGTGCCAGCGCCAGGCCCCAGGCTCCTAAGGGCAGCTGGTGTTTGCATGTTGGGTCAGCAGCGCCCCCTCATGGCCACACTTGCTAGTGCATTGGCAGCAAGTTTGTGTCTTCTTGGCCGCGTTTGTTTGCAGGTCGAGCAGTAAGCAGCACCCCCTAGTGGCCGCACTTGGCCAGGACGGTTCTTCTTCGAGGCTAGTGGTCCATTTGGTGACGTCCTCGCGAGGATGCAGTGATTTCTGTTGTTTACTCAAATTTACTGATTTCCTAGAGACTACGGCAGAGAGGGTCTTTAGATACTTGCAAGCATTTTTACAGCATCTGGCGGGCAAATTTGAAGTACTTCAATCCGCATGAAGGAAATGAAGGGGGATTTTTAATTTTTTTTTTTTTTTTGCTTTTTGGGTCACACCCGGCAATGCACAGGGGTTCCTCCTGGCTCTGCGCTCAGGAATTACCCCTGGCGGTGCTCAGGGGACCCTATGGGATGCTGGGAATCGAACCCAGGTCGACCGCATGCAAGGCAAACGCCCTACCTTCTGTGCTATCACTCCAGCCCCTGAATCTTGGTTTTTAACGTGGTTATGTTCCTCCACCAAAATTTATTTTCTGGATGTGCAAAATGCATCCTCAGGCTGGAGCGATAGCACAGCGGGGAGGGCGTTTGCCTTGCACGCGGCCAACCTGGGTTCAATTCCCAGCATCCCCTAGGGTCCCCCGAGCACCACCAGGAGTGAGTCCTGAGTGCATGACCCAGGAGTAACCCTTGTGCATCGCCAGGTGTGACCCAAAAAGAAAAAAAAAAGCATTCCCACCTTCCTCCCTGCTCTCTCAAAGTATTTACAACCGGATGGCACCCTCTGGTGGTTATTGCGTGGGAGAAAAATTTCTAGCATCCTTGCTGATTTCCTTCTTAGCGGAGGAGTCCCCTCCTGGGGAATGCTAGGGAGAAGTGCCCCATCGACAGAATGACAGAGTCAGCTGGGGACCCCTGCTCTAAGGCCTCGTAAGTGCCATAATGAGCTCAGATCCCATGAAAAGAGGTTTGGAGCACAGCTGCCCTCCAACCAGAAGAGAGAACCCCATTAGCAAGCTGGAGAGACCTGGCTCAGAGCCACCTTCTGGAACCTTCCACCCCCTGAATCACATTCCCCAGAGATCCAGCTCATGGAGAGTCACATTCTGGATGGTTCCACAGAGAGCAGAAGGAATGTTCTACGTCTTCCCGGTGTTTCCCCAAAGCCCCCCGGGATTTCCTGAAACGGTTCAGGAGCCGGAACTATAATCGTGCCAACCAAAAAAAGGCTCAGGGTCTCTTCAGGGACCCCGAGTCACCTCCTCCAACTTCCTAAGATAATAAGTTACATGAAAGGTGACAAGAGTTGGGGGAGAAATCACTTGCAATGTTTCACTTGGAGGAAGAAAATGACAGTTTTTTGATTCATGTTTTCCGTATTTCCCTCCCCAAACCAGCCCAGGTCCCTTTGACTAAACAACTGGGGGAGGGGGTTAGAGAGGGGGTTGTCTCCCAGTGTGTAGGAATGCATTACTTCCTGGAAATCACTGTATCTCTGCCATCCCGTTGTTCATCGATTTGCTCAAGCGGGTGCCAGTAACATCTCCATTCATCCCTGTCGCGTGCTATTGTAGCCCGATGGCGTATTGGGGCTCTTTCAGGGTCAGGGGAATGAGAACCGTCATTGTTACTGTTTTTGGCATATCGAGCACGCCACGGGGAGCTTGCCAGGTTCTTCCTGCAAATAAAAGTTGAAGTTCCCTCCCCTCCCAATCACCATCTGCCTGGTCTTCAGTACCTTGAAACGGAACAGTTGCATCTTTTCCAGGTGATGGAAAGGCCCTGGGGTCACTTTGACACTGGCTCCGACTTTGCTCTCTTATGGACATCTGAGCTCAAGGCTGAAGGCTTCAGTCTCCTTGCCCCCCAGATGGGAGTGAGGAGGGTGCTCCTTGCAGGAAGTGTGTGTGTAGGAGCTCAGGAAATCAGCAGAACACCCACCTCCAGTGTGAATTGTGCCATTGGGGTGTGGCAGGGGGTGTGGTTAGGTGCTAGGATGCAGGCTGTGCTGTTGGGGTCCTGGCTCCTTCCCTGGTGTTGCCAAAATGTTTATTAGCACTGTGTCACTGTCATCCCATTGTTCATCGATTTGCTCGAGCGGGCATCAGTAACGTCTCCATGGTGAGACTTGTTGTTACTGTGTTTGGCATCTCGAATATGCCACAGGGAGCTTGCCAGGCTCTGCCGTGTGGGCGGGATACTCTCAAGAGGGGCAGAGGAATCAAACCCGAGTTGGCCACGTGCAAGGCAAACACCCTACCCGCTGTGCTATCGCTCTGCCTTTTTTTATTTTAATAAAAATAAATTTTTTATTAAAAATAAAATAAAAGTTTTATTGCTCGAGCAGGCCCAGTAACATCTCCATTTTTGAGACTTATTGTTACTGTCTTTGGCATATCGAATATGTCATGGGCAGCTTGCCAGGCTTTGCCACGCGGGCGAGATACTCTCGGTAGCTTGCTGGGCTCTCCAAGAGGGGCGGAGAAATAGAACCCAGCTCGGCCGGGCTGACTGCGTGCAAGGCAAACGCCCTACTGCTGTGCTAAATTTTATTAATAAAAAAATAGAGTCTTGGAGCTGGCAGGGAAGATGCTTGCAGACATCCCAGGTTCAATCTCTGGCACCCGAGATGACCCCCCAAGCCTTCCTGGAGTTGGTGAACACAGAGCAGGAAGGAACCCCTGACTTGGTCTGGTGGAGAAACAGTCTACCCAGCTCCAAAGAAGTCTCCTGCCTAGAGACCTGGCCAAGCTGATGGTTCTTGAAGGGGAACTTCCTGTCCCCATCTTTTTGTTTTGTTTTGGGGGTCACACTGGCGATGCACAGGGGTTGCTCCTGGCTCTGCACTCAGGAATTACTCCGGGCGGTGCTCAGGGGATCCTATGGGATGCTGGAAATCGAACCCGGGTCGGCCACGTGCAAGGTCAATGCCCTCCCCGCTGTGCTATCAGCTGCTCCCATCTTGGGCAGGGCCAGTTTCAACTCCAGGGAAGATGAACACCCGTCCCAGTTAACCAGGTGCCACATTCACCCTCTCAGGGATAGGACTCCAGTGCCACAGCGCTGCCCGCCCTTGCATTTCGGTCTCCTTCATGTTATCTCCATATCCCTTCCTGCAGGCAACTCCCCATCCGACGAGTCGGAGGAGCGTGAGAGGGACCCCAAGGTGCTGACATTCCCCGAATACATCGCCAGCCTCTCCGAGTCTGGGACCAAGCGGATGGCAGCCGGCGTCCGCCTTGAGTGCCGGAGCAAAGGCCGGTGCCCCTCATCCTGCCCCCTGTGCCATGTGCCAGCCAACTCAGACACACCTGCCGAGCCTGTTTTGTTGGAGGTCACCAGAGCAGCCCCCATCTATGAGCTGGTGACCAACAACCAGACGCAGAGGGTGAGAGTGGGTTTGGTGGGTGCCAAACGCCAGGGAGGATTAGGGAGTGGGAGGTCCTCCAGGAACCTCATTTGCATAGATGCATATTTGCATATTAAGTCGATGTATGTTTGCATAGTAAGCCCCAAGGGTGCCGTCACCATGCCACCCTCATTTCTAACTTTTTTTTGCGTTTTGGGTCACACCCAGCGATGCACAGGGGTTCCTCCTGGCTCTGCACTCAGGAGTTACTCCTGGCGGTGCTCAGGGGACCATATGAGATGCTGGGAATCGAACCCGGGTCGACCGCGTGCAAGGCAAACGCCTACCCGCTGTGCTATCTCTCCAGCCCCGCGGACCCTCATTTCTTGGGAACCTAGGCTTGGAGCAGCCTGGATAGTGGGAGGAAGATAGCAAGGAGACCACACATGGTCTCTGTGCAGAAAATCTGGAGGGTATTCAGACTTGTCATTCGCTCCACGGTGACAAGTCTGGGAGCAGAACAAAGCAAAGGAGGCATCAGTGTTTTTCTAGGTAGGGGTGCGGCAAAGACCTAAGGGGTTACAGTCACCTCAAGAGGCCACTAAGGAGCAATGCAAGGACCCAGGGACTTCAGTGGCCTCAAGACCACTAGGGGGTGCTCTGAAGACCCAGGCGGTACAGTAGACTAAAGTACCACAAGGGGCCACTGCAAAAATCCAGGGACTAGACCAGGGGTCAATTAGTGGAGGCACCTCCCCATCGAAGATCCATGACTGCAGTACCCTCAGATCCTACAAGGGAGTGCTGCAAAGACCCAGGGGGCTGCAATACCTTCAGGTACCACGAGGGAACTCTGCAAATACCTAGGGGGAGAGAAGTGGTCTTGAAAAGTCACTACAGGGCACTGCTAAGACACAGGGGCATTGCCAAGACAAGGGACCACGGTGGTCTCAGAAGGCCACAAGAGAGCAGTGCAAAGATTGAAGGGCTGCAGTGGTCTCAGAAGCCATTAGGGGGCGCTGTAGTAGTCTCATGGGCCACTCACTACTGTGGGACACTGGAAAGATCCAAGAGAATGAGTCTGGTGGGAAATACTGCAGTGATCTAAGGTGTCCACTAGAGGGTGCCAGAGAGTTCTCCAGTGTCCACTATTGGGCGCTATTGTGCTCTCCCGTGTCCCGTAAGGGTCACTGTTGAGTTCACTTGTCCACAAAGGGGCGCTGTTGGTTTCTTGGTGTCCACTAGTGGGCACTGTTGCACTCTCATGTGTTCACTATGGGAAGCTGTGGAGCTCTCAAGTGTTCAATAAGACCCGCTGTTGAGAGCTCGTCCACTAGGAGAGCTGTTGGTTTCTTGGTGTCCACTAGGGGGTTCTGTTGAGCTCACACTTATCACTAGACATCGCTGTTGGGGTTTTTATGTGTGTGTCTGCTAGGGGCGCTGTTGCACTCTCAAGTGTCCACAGGGGATGCTATTGGGTTTTGATGTTCACTAGAGGGCGCTGTTGAGACCTAAGTGTCCACTATAGGACACTATTGAACCCTCCTGGTGTCCACCAGGAGCTGCTGTCAAGCTCTCACTTGCCCACTAGGGGGCGCTGTTAATCTCTCTCTTGTCTATTTGAAGGCACTATTAAACTCTCACTTGTCCAGAAGGGGTGCTAATGCACTCTCAAGTGTCCCCTAGGGGGCGCTGTTTCACTCTCTAGTCCACTCTCTAGCCTTCACTAGTCCACTCCTGGGCATTGTTGCACTCACTAGGTGGTGCTATTGTCCACTAATGGGCACTTTTGTGCTCTCAAGTGCTCACGAGGGGGGCTGTTGACCCTTCACATGTCCACATGAGGGAGCTGTTGTGCACTCACTTGTACACTAAGGGCGCAGTTGAGCTCTCACTTGTCCACTTGTGGGCACTGTACCGCTCTCATGTGTCCACTAGGGGGCGCTGTGGCGCTCACAAGTGTTCACAAGGGGTTATGTTGAACCTTCACGATTCCACTTGAGGGCATTGTTATGCTCTCAAGTGTCTCTAGGTGGCGCTGTTGCACTCTCAGTTGTCCACCAGGGGGCATAGTTGAGCTCACGCTTGTCCATTACAGGGCACTGTTACACTCTCAAGTGTCCACTAGGCGGCACTGTTGTGCTCACAAGTGTTCACGTTGAGCCTTCATGATTCCACTTGAAGGCACTGTTGCGCTCTCAGGTGTCCACCAGGGGCGCTGTTGCGCTCTCACTTGTCAACTACGGGTCTCTGTTGTGCACTGACTTGTCCACTAGGGGACACAGTTGAGCTCTCACTTGTCCACTATTAAGCAGTGTTGTGCTCTCAGGTGTCCACTAAGTGTCGCTGTTGCACTCTCAAGTGCCCGTAATGGAATGTGTTGAGGCTTTCATGATTCCACTTGAGGGCGCTGTTGAGCTCTCATTTGTCCACTTTGGGGCGCTGTTGAGCACTCACTTGGCCACTATTGGGCTCTGCTGCACTCTCAAGTGTCCAGTAGGGGGTGTTGTTGCAATCACAAGTGTCCACAAGGATATATGTTGAGCCTTCACGGATTCATTTGAGGACACGGTTACGCTTGCAAGTGTCCACTAGGGGGCGCTGTTGACCTCTCATTTGTCCATTGGTGGCGCTGTTTCGCCCTCCGGTATCCACTAGGGGTACTGTTGAGCCCTCACTTGTCCAGTAGGGGCGCTGTTATGCTCTCAAGCGTTCACTAGGGGTCGCTGTTGATTTTCTGTGTCCAGCAGGAGGTGCTGTTGAGTTCTTGGCATCACTGGGGGCTGCTGTTTGGCAATCATGTGTCAATTGAGGGACGCCAGATCTTGGTGTCCACTAGGGGCGCTAGTCTCCTGAGAGCTCTCAACAGTGCCCCAGGTTGATGCCTATGAAGTCTCTGTGGCCCCTAGTGGACACCTGAGAACTCTCTAGCGCCCCTACTGGACACTTTATAGCTCAGCGACGCTCCTAGTGGATGCCTGAGAGCTCAACAGTGCCCTCTAGTGAACAACTAAAGCTCTTTGGTGCCCCCTGTTCACACTTGAGGGCTCAAAAACACCCCGTAGAGCTAGGGAGGGATGAATTCTCAATTATCCAAACGCCTTCAACATCTTGAGCTGCATAGAGGTCACTGTAGAGGCCCATGAATCCACTACTAAGGGGCACTGCAGAAACCCAGGAGCTGTATAAGTCTCAGGAGGTTACTGCAGTAGCTTCAGGAGGCCACGAGGTGGTGTTGATGTAGCCACAAGTAGCACTGGTGGGTGAAGTGGACTCAGGAGGCAACTAGGGAGCCCTAGGCAGACCCATGGGCTACAGTGGTCTTATGAGGCCAAAAGAGGGTTGCATATAGGCACGAGGAAGCACTGCAAAGACCCAGGGACTGCAGTGACCCCAGGAGACCAAAGAGGATTCTGCAGATAACCACTAGGGGCGCTGCAAAGACCAAATGGGGTGAGATGGCCTCAGCAGGACACTAGGGGGCAGGGCGTTGCAAAAACCCTAGGGATACAGTAGTCTCAGGTGCCACTAGGGGGCGCTGCAATGATCCAGGGGTCTTAGGTACCAGTGGAGGGGACCAAAGATCCCTTGGGCTGCAGTTGTCTCAGGTGCCACCGGGGGGCGCTTTCTGGATGTTCGGTTGTGTGGAAACACTGTTTCTGTTTTGGAAAAGGGGCGAGGAGTTCTCCCTACTCTGCGCTGCTCTGCATCTGGCTTGTAGAACAAAATGAACAGACACAGTGGACACACAGACACACCCAGCCCTACTGCGACAGGGGATAAGGAGTAGCCAACTCAGCCTGGGGGACTTCCTCGCCAAGGTGGGGGGGGAGGGTTAAAAGGGGAGGTTGAGGAGGAGACCAGGAGACTCACGAAGGATGTGACCTTTTAGGTGCAGTGAATTTCTCATTTTTGGGACTACATTAGGAACTCCAGTTACTAATATTGCATCAATATTGGTCCATTATTTTTATTTATTTATTTATTATTTTTTTGCTTTTTGGGTCCCACCCGGCGATGCTCAGGGCTGACTCCTGGATCTGCACTCAGGAATCACTCCTGGTGATGCTCAGGGGACCCTATGGGATGCTGGGAATCGAACCCGGGTCGGCTGCGTGCAAGACAAACGCCCTCCCCACTGTGCTATCGCTCCAGCCCCATGAATTTCTCATTTTGCCCCTTTACCCCTGCACGTGGGGGGGGCTCTAGTTTGTCTCCTAGAGGATATTTTCATGCCTCTCTCTCTCACACACACACACATACACACACGGGGTCTACCTGTGTCATTTCCCCCACCTTCTTCCTTGAGTTTTTCCACAGAGGACACCAAAAGGTTCCCCTCAGCCTGACACACCCTGGAGGGTGACCCTGGGGACTCCTACTATATTGCACCCTATTGTGGTGCAAATTACACACCAGGTTTCTGTTCCCAAAAAACGTGGGGTACGAGCATTATGGAAAAGCTTAAAACAGGGGCTGGAGCGATAGCACAGCGGGGAGGGTGTTTGCCTTGCACGCGGCCAACCTGGGTTCGATTCCCAGCATCCCATAGTATCCCCCGAGCACTTCCAGGAGTAATTCTTGAGTGCATGAGCCAGGAATAAACCCTGTGAATCGCTTGGTGTGACCCAAAAAGCACACACAAAAAAGAGCTTAAAACAACAGAAATGTATACAGGGCTGCGGGGACGGGCTCACTTCACATGCAGCCAACCCTGGTTCAATGCCCACATTAGATCCACAACATTCCGGGAATGATCCCTGAGCACAGAGATAGGAGTAAGCTCTGAGGACCACCAGCTGTGGTCCAGAAACTTAATGAGGAGGGGTGAGAGGAAGGGATAGGGGTGAATTATGGCACCTGGGCATTCTGGGAGGAGTATCTACTTACCCATGGTGACAGCCCCTGACTCCACAGGATGAACTGATGCGAAGGAAAGATAATATCACTGTATCACTGCATCACTGTCATCCTGTTGTTCATTGATTTACTCGAGCGGGCACCAATAACGCCTCTGTTCATCCCAGCCCTGAGATTTCGGCAGCCTCTCCTTTTTTAAAATTTTTAAAAAAATTTTTATTAGTGAGACACCATGAGGTACAGTGGTAGACTTACAACTTTTTGTGCTTGGGTTTCAGTTATACAATGATCAAATACCCATCCCTCCACCAGTGCCCATTTCCCACCACCACGGATCCCAGTATCCCTCCCACCCCCCATCCCCGCCATCCCACCCTGCCTCTGTGACAGGGCATTCCCTTTTGTTCTCTCTCTCCTTTTGGGTCTTGTGATTTGCAAAAGAGGCATTGAGTGGCAATCCTGTTTGGTCTATAGTCTACTTTCAGCGTGCTTCTCCCATCCTGGGAGGATCCTCCCAACACCCTTTATTTGATGCTCCCTTCTCTATCTGAGCTGCCTTCTCCCCTAGCATGTGTGACTGGCCTCCAAGCCATGGAGCAAAATTCCTGCTACTAATCCCGGCCATTCTTGGGTGTTAGTTTCCTATTTTGTTACTTTATGTTCCCCAGATGAATGCAATCTTTCTATGTCTATCCCTCTCTTTCTGACTCATTTCGCTTAGCATGATACTTTCCATGTCGTACCACTTGTATGTAAATTTCATGACTTCATCTTTTCTAACAGCTACATAGTACTCCATTGTGTAAAAATACCAAAGTTTCTTTAACCAGTCACCTATTCTCAGGCACTCAGGTTTTTTCCAGATTCTGGCTATTGTAAAGAGTGTCAGCAGCCTCTCCTTACTTGTCTTTCCCAACGCTGCCCTATTGGAGGCTCTTTCAGGGTCAGGGGAATGAGACCCGTTATTGTTACTGTTTTTGGCATATCGGGTATGTCACGGGGAGCTTGCCAGGCTCTGCCAGCAGGAAAGATAATATCTACCCAGAAAACCTCCTGGAGTAGAAATCTCCAGGGGCTAACGGTGCTCCCTGCTGGTGGCGATGTGTAGGGCACGCTGCTCCTTGCAGCTGGTATGGTGCTTCTCAGAGTGGTCACTTTTGGTTCTCTCTCTCATAGCTCTTGCAGGAGGCCACCATGAGCTCTCTGTGGTGCTCGGGGACTGGTGACGTGATCGAAGACTGGTGCCGATGTGACTCCACGGCCTTCGGAGCCGACGGGCTCCCCACGTGTGCTCCACTGCCTCAGCCCGTGTACGCCTGCTCTCCCTGCATGCATGCCTGGTGCCAACCTGCAGACCTGGCCAGGCTGCAGGCTGGGGTCTGGGGTGGGGTGGGACAGAGGTCACCACAGGGCAGGCACTGCAATGACCCAGGGGCTGCAGTGGCCCCGGGAGACCAAAAGGCAGTTCTGCAGATCACCACTAGGGGCGCTGCAAAGAACTAATGGAGTGAGATGCCCTCAGCAGGACATTGCAGGAATCCAAGAGGCTGGAGTGATAGTACAGCGGGGAGGGCGTTCGCCTTGCACGTGGCTGACCCGGGTTCGATCCCCAGCATCCCATATGGTCCCCTGAGCACTGCCAGGAGTAATTCCTAAGTGCATGAGCCAGGAGGAACCCCCTTGCATCACTAGGTGTGACCCAAAAAGCAAAAAAAAAAAAAAGTCCAAGGGATGCAATAGTCTCAGATGCCACTTGGGGGCGCTGCAACGATCCAGGGGTCTTAGGTGCCCCTGGAGGGGACCAAAGATCCCTGGGGCTGCAGTATCTCAAGTGCCACTAGGGGGCGATGTTCGGTTGCGGGGGCAGAGATGGGAATCACTGGGTCAGGAGCTGGAAGCAGGACTGCAGAGCTAGAACCATGGGGAAGGGGCTGGACTTGCACGCAGCTGACCCGGGTTCGAGTCTTTATTTGGTCCCTCAAGCCTGGTCCCTGAGCACCGCGAAAGGAGCCCCAACTTAAAAATAAAAACGGGGGGGGGGGGTTGGAGCAATAGCAAAGCGGGGAGGGTGTTTGCCTTGCACGCAGCCGACCTGGGTTCGATCCCCGGCATCCCATAGGGTCCCCTGAGCACCGCCAGGAGTGATTCCTGAGTGCAGAGCCAGGAGTAACCTCTGTGCATCGCTGGGTGTGACCCAAAAGGCAAAAGATATTTTTTAAAAACTTTAAAGAATGGGGAGGGGGGGAGGTGGAAAGAAAGGAACAATCTAGAAACTCTTCTTGATGGGGTGAGTTTGGAAGCTATTTGGCACTCATATTGCATAGTTTAGTAAAAGGAAATTGGTGCAGAGAGATTCGTTTTGGGAGCAGCAGAAGCGGTTGAGGACCCAGCCATTCTAGGGGTGGGGGTAGGGGGACCCACCAGTAGGTTACAGTGGGCAGGACTCTTTGGTGACTGGGAGTGAGGAGAAAGACGTGGGGGACGGACTCAAGACTCCAGTCCCAGGGGCTGGAGCAATAGCACAGCAGGGAAGGCGTTTGCCTTGCACATAGCCAACCCGGGTTCGATTCCCAGCATCCCATAGGGTCCCCCGAGCACCGCTAGGAGTGATTCCTGAGTGCAGAGCCAGGAGGAACCCCTGTGCATTGCCGGGTGTGACCCAAAAAGCAAAATAAATTTTAAAAAGGTCCTTTGGGGAGAAGCAGAAACCCAAGAAGAAGGTGTTGGGGGCAGTATAGGGCTCCCCTCTCTGCCACCCGCCATGAGGCAGCCCCAGGGGGCTTGTGAGAGCCTGGCAGTGTGGGTAGGCATGAAAAGCAGCATCCGGCCGTGTCTGGGGTCACGGAGGGCACAGAGAGGGACTTTGGGGAGCAGGAAGTAGCCTGGCTTCACCTCCCATCTGCATGGATAAAAACTTTTTTTTTCTTGGTTATTGGGCCACATCCAACAGTGCTCAGGGTTGACTCCTGGCTTTGCACTTAGGAATCACTCTTGGCAGTGCTCTGGGGACCCTAGGGAATGCCGGGAATCGAACCCAGGTTGGCCATGTGCAAGGCAAACACCCTCCCTGCTGGACCACCGCTCACTGCGCACCCCAGTTTCCCTGGAATTTTATTATTTTTTTAAGGCTTTGGGGCTGCACCCGGTGATGCTCAGGACTGACTCCTGCCTCTGCACTCAGGAATCACTCCTGGCGGTGCCCGGGGAGCCTCTGGGGGACCAGGGATCGATCTCGGCTTGACTGCATGCAAGGCCAGCGCCCTGCCCGCTGTCCTCTCTCTCTCCCTCTCCCGCCCCCGTTGCTCACATACTTGTTGGACGTTGAAAAGAGGAACGCCTTCTAATTCTCCAGAAGCCTTTGTGAATCTCGCCTGCGCCAGCTTCTCAGCAGGGGTCAGCCCGGTCCGACTTTTCAGAGAAGCCAAGTTCTCGGAAAGACTTGGGGCCTTCCTCCAGCCCCCGATGCGTTTTCTGCAAGAAAAGCAGCCCGCATCTGACTCTCATTAACGAGCGTGTCAAAACCCACCAACTGGGCACGTGTCCTGGGACTCAGGAAGCCACAAAAACGCATCATTCTCTCCCCCATAAAATGCCATTTTGTGGTGCCTGCTGCCCACCCCCCCCCCCATGTGCCACTGCTTGTCCCTGCAGTGGCTGGGGCTGGCCTGATTCTCTCGCCCACCCTGGGCCGAGCTATCTATGCATCATGTGGATGTTTTATTTATTTATTATTAAAATTTTTTTTTACCTGTTAGCTCACAGCCAGTGATGCACAGGGGTTAGTCCTGGCTCATGCACTCAGGAATTACCCCCTGGCAGTGCTCGGGGGGACCCTATGGGATGCCGGGAATCGAACCCAGGTCGGCCGTGTGCAAGACAAAAGCCCTCCCCGCTCTGCTATTGCTCCAGCCCCCGGTGAATGTTTTAACAGAGAATCACTGACAGCGCACAGGCAGCTGCAGTGATGGGAAGAGGCCATTCTTCACTAGGAGGCGCTGAAGTGCAGAGCCCAGGCTGGTCTCGGAGCTCTGCTAGGCGCCCCTTGGCAGTGACCAAGACCTGAGTCTTAGGGCAGGCTTCTGTGAGCCGGGGAGGGGGGGGTCAGAAGTATGCAGGGGGGCGGAGAGGGGATCTAAGGAGAGGGGGTGGGGGGCTGTGAGGGAAGAGAGTGAGCTGGTCAGGTTCCCAGAAACCGTGGTCTGGAAAGAAGTCCGGAATCAGGAGCCAATAAGCAAAGATTCAACTATAAAGGCAGTGATTTGAACCCCCCCGGGCCCCATGACATCCTGTGATGTCATTTGTGTTTACAGAGTTTCTCCCCGGGACACCGGGAAGTGGGGGAGGGGGCTGTAGCAGTTTCCTCGAGCGGGCGCCAGTAACGTCTCCATGGTGAGACTTGTTGTGACTGAGTTTGGCATCTTGAAGACGCCACGGGGAGCTTGCCAGGCTCTGCCATGCGGGCGGGATACTCTCGGTAGCTGCCAGGCTCTCAGAGAGGGGTGGAGGAATCAAACCCAGGTCGGCTGTGTGCAAGGCAAATGCCCTACCCACTGTGCTATGGCTCCAGCCCCTGGAGCCCAGTTTTTTTTGTTTTTTGCTTTTTGGGTCACACCCGGCGATGCACAGGGGTCACTCCTGGCTCTGAGCTCAGGAATTAGCCCTGGTGGTGCTCAGGGGACCATATGGGATGCTGGGAATTGAACCCGGGTCGGCCACGTGCAAGGCAAACACCCTGCCTGCTGTGCTATTGCTCCAGCCCCGAGCCCAGGCTTTAAAGACTTTGAGAACTCTCTCTCTCTCTGAAACAGACAGTCCTGCTTCAGGGTTTGGTTTAAGAAAGCACAAAAGGACAGAAGGAACCGTCCAAACTCCAGCTGTTACTGTCTCTGTGCTCAGGAATCCCTCCTAGTGAGGCCTAGGGGGGTGGGGGAGACTCTTTGGGTGGGTGCTGGGGATTGATTGCTTGCTTTTGGGGGGAGGGTCACACCCAGCGATGCACAGAGGTTACTCCTGGCTCATGCACTTAGGAATCACCCCTGGCGGTGCTCAGGGGACCCTATGGGATGTTGGGAATCGAACCTGGGTCAGCTGCATGCAAGGCAAACACCCTACCTGCTGTACTATCGCTCCAGCCCGGTACTAGGGATTGAACCTAGGTCGGCACCAAGCCCTGCTAGACTCCTCTCTGACCTCCAGTTCAACTTCGTGTTCGTGTGTGCATGCAGGCTCCGGCTGTCCACGGTCCACGAGCCCAGTAGCACCCTGGTGGTCCTGCAGTGGGTACACTCGGAACCTCTCATTGGGGTGCACATCGTCGATTACCTCATCCGCCAGGAGAAGGTCACCGATAGGATGGATCACTCCAAACTGGAGACAGGTCGGTTTCACCACATCCCTGCTGCTGTGTTCATCCGGGGCAAAGACCAGGGGCACCGGGCGGGTGGGGGACCCCAGCAGAAGATGCGGAGGCAAGGAGAGGCCTCCACCAGACAGCTGTCATCGGGTTCATTCTTTTTTTTCTCGGCATTTTGCTGCTCCCTGGCTTGTTTTGTCACTATGCCCTTCTTCCTCCCACCCTCAGCTTGAAAAACAAATGTCTGACTAACCTCACTGTGCATTGCAGAAGAAGATGCCAGCTAATGACCCCCCCCTCCAGCAGAAGTCTGGGCACCCCTTGTCTCCCTCGGGCCTGGATCTAACTCAGCTGCGGTCACATCCAGCCATAATCCCTGAGGGGGATGGAAACGCCCGTCTAATGGGTCCTGCCTGCCCTTGCCTCACGCTGGCTCCCTGTGGGAAAGATTGGCTTAAAAATGTTCTCTCAGGGGGGCTGGAGTGATAGCACAATGGGTAGGTCGTTTGCCTTGCACGCGGTCGACCCAGGTTCGAATCCCAGCATCCCATAGGGTCCCCCGAACACCGCCAGGAATAATTCCTGAGTGCATGAGCCAGTAGTAAGCCCTGTGCATTGCTGGATGTGACCCAAAAAGCAAAAAAAAGAAAGAAAGAAAGAAAAAGAATCTCCCAAACTCAGGCAGAAGTGTGATCCCCCAGTAGGGTGGTGAAACCACAATCAATGGTTCTGCCTCGCTTTTTTGGGCTATGAGAGTTCCCACCCCAAGCCAGAGGGGTAAACTCTAGACAATCACTTCTGCAGGGATGGGTTTGGTTCATGCCACCTTCTAGATCTTTCTAGCTCTCTCCACGAGGGCTTGCAGAGCGAGCGAGTTCACACTCAGGGAGTTGTTTCCTGTCCCTCCACGCTCAGGCTGTCCCCTTCCCTCCTTCTCTGGGCAGAAACGGTGCTGAGCTTCGTGGACGATATCATCTCCGGTGCCAAGTCACCCTGTGCCATGCCTGCCCAGGTGCCAGACAAGCAGCTCAGCACCATCTCCCTCATCATCCGGTGCTTGGAGCCCGACACGCTTTACATGTGAGTGTCTGGGTCGTATCCCCTTTGGTTCTGGTGAACACAGGGAGAAACTGAGCCTGATGAGGGAGGAAATGGCCACTGTCCACTAGGTGGCACTGTAGCGCCCGGGAAGCTGCAGTGGCGTGAAGAGGCCATTCTCCACTAGGAGGCGCTGCAGTGCACCAGAAACTGCAGTAGGGGGAAAAGTGGCTGTTCTCCACTAGGTGGCACTGCAATTCGCAGGAAGCTACAGTAGGGCTACAGTGGGCGTTCTCCACTAGATGGCGCTGTAGTGCACAAAAAAAAACACAGTGGGGGACCCTGCATTGGGGGGCTCCTCCCTTGGGAGGGGCTCAGGGGAGCTTACCAAGCTCGCCCAGGGGGAACCCGCTTGCAGAAGTGCTGTTCCCGCCAGGATGCATTCCCCTGCTGTGCCCCAGGGTCAGGGGGCTGTGACATCTCTGGGCATCCTTCTCCCCTCCTGCCCAGGTTCACCCTGTGGGGCGTGGACAACACGGGCCGCCGCTCCAGGCCCAGTGACGTCATCGTGAAGACCCCCTGCCCCGTGGTGGATGACGTCAAGGCCCAAGGTAAGAGATGCAGAGGCTAGTCTGGAAGCTCCCTGATGCTCTGGGGGCTCCGTAGGTTTTCAAAGTTGGGGAGCCCACCTGCAGGAGACACAGCTGAAAGCCGACACCCCTGGGGACAGCAGGCTCCCAGGCCGTCGTGAGACCCCCCCCCCACACACACACACACCTCTTCCCTTAGTACCACACTCCCTCACTTGCCTGGAGCCCCTCTGAAAGGTGCATCTGACTCTGTACACAAAAGGGCTGCAGGTTTGGAATCCGCAGCTCTCTCACCCAGCTCCAAGGATGAGCCAAAGTTTCAGACGTGCTAAGGAGCCGGTGCAGAGTCTCCCGGCCGCCTCTGAAGCTCTTGCCCCTTAGGAATGGTAGGAAAGCGGGTCTCACTCTCGGAGGCTGCATCCAGGCTCTTTACCAAAAAATATGTCCATCAGTTTCCTTTCACGCAAGCTTCATGGCCAAGAGGCTGTGAAAAAGAACCCCCTGTGGTCCCCTGAGCCTGCTGGAAGGGGTCCCTGAGCACAGAGCTACGAGTGAGTCCTGACCTGAGCACCACTGGGTGTGGCCCGAAAACCAAAACTCAATTTTTGAAATTTTTGCTTTTTGGGTCATACCAACGACGCGCAGGGGTTCCTCCTGGCTCTGCACTCAGGAATCACTCCTGGCGGTGCTCAGGGGGACCCTATGGGATGCTGGGAATCGAACCCGGGTTGGCCGCGTGCAAGGCAAACGCCCTACAGGCTGTGCTATTGCTCCAGCCCCTCAAACAATTTCTAAAGGGGCTGGAGCAAGGACACAGTGGGTAGGGCGTTTGCCTTGCATGTGGCCGACCCGGGTTCGATTCCCAGCATCCCATAGGGTCCCCCTGAGCACCGCCAGGAGTGATTCCTGAATGCAGAGCCAGGAGTAAGCCCTGAGCATCGCTGGTTGTGACCCCACGGAAAAAATTAAATGTTTTACATTTTAAACAACAAGCCTCAAAATAGAAACATTATTGGGCCCGCTCGAACAAAGGGAGAACAGTGATACAGTGATACATTTTATTTATTTTTTTCTTTGTTTTTTTTTTATTTTTGGGGGTCACACCTGGCGATGCACAGGTGTTATTCCTGGCTTTGCACTCAGGAATCACTCCTGGCGGTGCTCAGGGGACCATATGGGATGCTGGGAATCGAACCTGGGTCGGCCGTGTGCAAGGCAGACGCCCTACCCGCTGTGCTATCGCTCCAGCCCCTACAGTGATACATTTTAAAAGGGACAGATACTAAAGTCATTCAAATGGGGTGGGGGTGGGCTGAATCAAACCCAAACCAAAGAAATACAGATGAGGAGACCCTGCATCTACCTGGGTTCAATCCCAGACGCCCTGAGCATCTCTGGTGCAGTGCTGGTGGCCCTGAGCACTGTCAGGTGTGACCCTGGAGGCCTCCAGCACGGTCAAGTGTGTCCCTGAAGTTCCCCAGCAACCACAGGACACACAACACTGCATCCCGAACCTCACACCCACCCGCCAGCCTGGTTGGCGGAGAACCACTGATGGAGGGTCTCTTGTGCATTGTTAGAAAACCCCCACCCACCCAGCCTCTCCAAACGCACAACCACACCCACGTAGGCTTAGCAAAAGGCAGGACTGAAATGCAAGATTGATTCGCGTGAGTCTACACAGCAGGCCGTACCACACCTGAGTGAACTGTGTCTCCATTTGACGTCTTCTTGACCGCAGAGATCGCGGACAAGATCTACAACCTGTTCAATGGGTACACCAGCGGGAAAGAGCAGCAGACGGCTTACAACACCCTCCTGGACCTGGGCTCCCCGACCCTGCACCGGGTCCTCTATCACTATAACCAGCACTACGAGAGCTTCGGGGAGTTTACCTGGCGCTGTGAGGATGAGCTGGGCCCCAGGTAACCAGCCCACGGTGGTCTTTGTCAGGGCACTTCCGGGGCCCAATGGGTGGAAGATGCTAGAAAGCATCCAAGGATGTACTAGCTCCGACGTGACGGCAATTTCCAATCTCGAACCCCTTTCGGAGCTTCTTCATCCTGTGGACACAGCCCTCCGAATGCAGAAACTGGCTGGAACCGAGTTAGCTCAGGGGATGAAAGCGTTCACCCCACATGTGGCCGACCCAGGTCCATCTCCATCGCCTCGTATGCCCCCCTGAGCACTCCCAGGACGGGTTCCTGAGCACCGAGCCAGGAATTGGCCCTGAGCGCTACAGAGTGTGACCCTAACGCTCCCCCAGGCCCCCCAAACAAAAAGCAACCAAGCCAGGAGCTGGAGTATTGGGAGGTCAGGTATTTGCCTTGCACGGTGCTGGTCTGGATTCAACCTGCAGCACCCTAGGAAGTCCCAGGAGCTAGAACTGTAGAGTCAGGAGGAAGCCCTGAGCCCTACTGGGTGTTCCCCAAGACAAAAACAACTCAGATTCTCAGTCTGGGCTGGAGAGGGATAATGCAGTAGTTAAGGCACTTACCTTGCATGCTGCATACCCAGTTTAATCTCTGGGCCACCTCACAGGATCCCCAGAACCCTGCCAGGAGTGATCCCACAGCATAGAGCCAGGAGTTTGGCCTGAACCTCGCTGTGTGTGACCTCCAAGAAAAAAAAAAGTTGCAAATACTCTGGGAAGAAAATAAGGGGGAATTCAATGCCCCCCCAACCCCCCACCAGAATAGAGATATTTTCTCCTGGTCATGAGGTCACAGCCAACTGTTTAGAGCTTTCATCCCCTGCTGGAGGAAATGCAGGTTCATCATCCCCTGCTGGAGGAAATGCAGGTTCGGGGTGGGGGGGAGGGAAGGAGGGAGAGCTAGGAGACCTCCGCCAGGGGTATTGATGCTCAGACATTCCATTACACAGGATCCCTGGACTGATAACAGCTCCATGAGGGGCGGTCCAGGCAGGCATCTGACACTTACAGTCTGTCTGTGCAGCTTCAGAATATCACAAGTGTTCACTCCTGTTTGACTCAATAGTCAATAGTGTAACCCTACAGCACTGTCCTCCCATTGTTCATCGATTTGCTCGAGCAGGCACCAGTAACGTCTCACCACAAATTGTGAGACTTGTTGTTACTGTTTTTGGCATATTGAAGACACCACAGCTCTGCCGTGTGGGCGGGATACTCTCGGTAGCATTCTGGGCTCTCCGAGAGGGTCGGAGGAATTGAACCCGGGTCGGCCAAGTGCAAGACCAACGCCCTACCTGCTGTGCTATCACTCCAGCCCAATCGATAGTGTATATTCTTAAATTCTTTGGAGATGCAGAAAAAAAAGAGAGAAGGTAAGAAGATAAGGCAGGAAGGAGGAAAGGGAAAGGATGAAAAGAAGGGAAAGGGAAGAAAGAGAGGGAAGGAAAGGAGGAAGGACGGGAAGAAGATGGAAGGGAGGAGGGAAGCTGGGAGGAAGGGAGGGAGGGAAGGGGAGAGAAGGGAAGTGAAGGAAAGGAAAGGAGGACAGTCAGATGGGCTCTAGACACCCCCAAGCATTCAAGAATTCTTGCACTTCCGCCAGTAGGGCCAAAGGAAAATGTTGCCCCGAAGTCATCCCGCCCACCATCCTGTTTCCGGGTGGAGACCATGGCTTTTCCTAGAAGACCATTATTCAGTATTCAATCCAGGCCCTCATGTTCCCACTCAGAGAACAGGAGGAAGTTTGGGATTATCCTCCTGGGTCAGGACAGCAATGGCCAGTTGATTAGATCCTGATGTCAGAAAGCGTCCTGGGTGGACAGGCCAGTAACACTGGAGCCTGAGAGCCAAACGGAGGGAGGATCTGGCTTTTGTTTAGTCTCTGTTGTGGGTAAAAAGAAAGAAAAGCGAATCCTGGGGTTGTATCACTTGTCATCCCAGTTGTTCAATTTGCTTGGGTGGGCACCAGTAATGTCTCCATTCGTCCCTGTCGCGTGCTACTGTTGTCCAATGGCATCTGCTCGCTCCAGGAACACGAAGAGCCTGAGATTTTAGCAGCCTCTCCTTACTCGTCCTTCCCAACGCTGCTGTATTGGGGGCTCTTTCCGGGTCAGGGGAATGAGGCCCGTTATTGTTACTGTTTTTGGCATCTCGAATATGCCCCGGGCAGCTTGCCAGGCTCTGCCATGTGGGAGGGATACTCTCAGTAGCTTGCCTCTCCGAGAGGAAAAACTGCCATCCTGGGCCTAGGGGGAGATAACACCCGGGTAAAAAGCCTAATTTTGGTCCTTGGGGACCCCTGTCCCCCTACTGGCCTTGTTCCTGATGACATCCAAGGGCGACTGATCCCCGGTGCTAAAGCCAGCCTTGAAACAGGAGGGGAATAGTTAGTAATCCCTTGGGGCAGAAAGAGGAACTTAGTAACCCCTTGGGGCAGGAAAGAGATAATAATAACTAACCCCTTTGGATTACTTGATCACTTGACTTCCTGTTAATCGGTTGATTTGCTCGAGTGGGCGCCAGTAAGGTCTCAGTTATGTCATTATCCCCTTGGGATAATAATAACTAACCAGCCACCACCATGCTGAGACCACTCTCCACACGCATGAAGGTACCGACCGGCAGAGGAACAAAGGCATGCCGGTCCAGGGGCTGAGATCTCCAAGCCTGCTCAGATCGAGGCTGAGCATCCTTCACCCAGATCCTCCATCTTCCAGTAGGCAGGGGTCACACCCACCAACTGACACCCGCCCCCCCCCGCCCCTGCGCCGTGGTCGTGTAATCCCATCAACGGCCAAGACTCAGAGACTATAAAACCCAGCTCCCAGAGGCGCGGGACATCTTATTATCTCATTCCTACTTTGGACAACCTGGCAGGCTGCCGAATGTAACCTGCCCACACGGCAGAGTCTGGCAAACTCCCCGTGGCGTCCCCAATATGCCAAATACCAGTAACAATGATGGGTCTCATTCTCCTAACCCTGAAAGGGCCTTGAATATGGCACTTTAAAATATCAGGGCTAGGATGACGGAGATGTTACTGGTGCCTGCTGGAGGCAATCGATGAACAACAGGATGATTGTGATCTGTGATTGTGAACCCCTTGGGACAGGGAGGGGATACTCAGTATCCCCTTAGGACAAGGAGGGGATAGTTACTAATCCCTTGGGCAGGAAGGGGATACTTGGTATCCCCTTGGGGCATGGGAGATAGTAACACCTTGGGAAAGATTAGGGGTATTTAGTAACCCCTGGGGCAGGGAGGAGATACTTAGTAACACCTTGGGGCAGGGATTGTATACTTAGTAACCCATTTGGGCAGGGAAGGGATACTTAGTAACCCTTGGGGGTATGGACGGGCTATTTAGTGATATTCTGGTGCAGGGAGGGGATACTCAGTAACCTCTTGGAGTAGAGAGCTGATACTTAGTAATCTTTTGGGGTTGGGAGGGGATATTTAATCACCCCTTGGCCAGGGAGGGAATAGTAACATCTTATTGAGGGAACCTATATTTAGTAACCTCTTGGGTCAGTAGGAGATACTTAGTAACCCTTTGGCAGGGAGCTGATACTTAGTATCCCCTTGGGGAAGGGTAGGGATACTTAGTAACCTCTGGGGCCGGGAGGGGATACTTAGTATCTTTTGAGGAAGGAAGGGTTATGTAGTAACAACTTGAGCAGGGAATGGATACTTATAACTCTTGGGGGCAGAGAGTGGATACTTAGTAACCCCTTGAGCAGGGAAGGAATAGTTAGTAACGCATTGTTGCAGGGAACAGATAATTAGTAACCCTTGGGCTGGGAGGGGATACTTAGTAACACCTTGGGGCATGATGTGGATACTATAACACCCTGAGGAAGGGAGAGGATACTTAGTAACCCTTGGTGCAGGGTCCCATTCTTAGTAACTCTTGGGGGCAAGGAGGAAACTTAGTAAGCCCTTGGTGCAGGGAGGGGATACTTAGTGAATCCTTGAGTCAGGGAGGGGATACTTAGTAAACCCTAGAGAAGGGAGTGGATACTTGGTAACCCCTTGGGGCAGTCTGAGATACTTAGTAACCCTTTGGGGCAAGGTGTGGATACTTAGCAACTCCCTGTGTCAGGGAGAAATTATTTTAGTTAGCCCTTCAGTTAGGGAGGGGATACTTAGTAAAATCTTGGGGGCAGGAAAGGGATACTTAATAACTCTTTAGGGAAGGAAGCAGATACGTCATAACCCATTAGAGCAGAAAGAAGATACTCTGTAACACCTGAGGTAGAGAGCCGATACTTACTAACCTTTGGGGCAGGGAGGGGATACTTAGAACCCCTTGTGGCAGAAAGCGATATTTGTTAATCCTTGGGTCAATGTGGGGATAATTAGTAATGCCTTGGGGGCAGAAATGGAATATTTTGTTACTTTTAGATAGGGAGTAGATACAGAGTAGCCCCTTGGGACAGGGAGGGGACAGTTAGTAACCCCTTTGGGCAGGGAGCAAATACTTAATAACCTTTTGGGGTACAAGGGGATACTTAGTAACTCCTTGCGGGCAGGGATCAGGTACTTTGTAACCCTTGACCTATTACTGACCAAACTAGTACTGCACATGCACAACTCACCAGCTCTCCTTCCACCCTTCCTCCCATCTGCTCACCACCCCCCTCTCCTCCTCCTCCTCTGTCAGTGGACACCCTGATTAGGTTAATACTCCTATTTTAACCATTCCTCTTCCTTTTGTTTGCTTTAGGGGGTCAAACCTGGTAATTTATCAGGGTTTACTCCCGAGTCTGAACTCAGGCAAAAATCACTCCGAACCATGCTTGGGGTCCCTAGTTTTGTGGGTTTTGTGTTTAGTTTGTTTTTGTTTTGCTTTTTGGGTCACACCCGGCGATGCACAGGGGTTCCTCCTGGCTCTGCACTCAGGAATTACTCCTGGCGCTGCTCAGGGGACCCTACGGGATGCTGGGAATCAAAACCTGGGTCAGCCACGTGCAAGGCAAATACCTCCTGGCCCAGTTTTGTTCCCCAGCATCCCTTTGTCAGTCCTGCTTCATCCTTCCAGCTCAGCACCAACGCCCCTGAGGTCCCTCTGCAATGGGCTGGGTTCCCTGAGACAGTTTGTGTGACCCCCAGAGAACAGCCTTCCTCTGCTCCCAGCTGTCCTGACCTCCTGGTCCCTGCCACAACACTGGGCTCCAGCCTGGAGTAAGGTGAGCCCCAGGTGACTTCTCTGCTCCCCAACCCCCCAGTCAGCATTTCCTACAGGAATAACCATGTCAGCATGCCCCAGACAATTCTGTCCTGCCCTCCTTCTGCCTTCCAGGGACAGCTAGTCTGCAGTTCAGTGCCAAGACAGCCTCTAACATAATTGGGAGAAGGAAAAAAGATTTAGTACCAGCCAGTATTTGTCACTGAGCGATGATGGATGACTTGCCTGCAAAGGAAACAGGCTGGACTCTGGTCTCAAAACTGCCAGGCAGGGGGCTGGAGCGATAGCACAGCAGGCAGGGTGTTTGCCTTGCACGCAGTCAACCTGGGTTCGATTCCCAGCATCCCATAGGGTTCCCTGAGCACCGCCAGAAGTAATTCCTGAGTGCAGAGCCAGGAGGAACCCCTGTGCATTGCCGGGTGTGACCCAAAAAGAAAAAAAAACTGCCAGGCTGGAGAGACGGGACAATGGGGAAGGTGCTTGCCAATCCGGGTTTGATTCCCAGGATCCCATATGGTCCCCTGAGCACTGCCAGAAGTAATTCCTGAGTGCAGAGCCAGGAGGAACCCCTGTGCATTGCCAGGTGTGACCCAAAAAGCAAAAAAAAAAAAAAACTGCCAGGCTGGAGAGACGAGACAATGGGGAAGGTGCTTGCCAACCCAGGTTCGATTCCCAGCACCCCATAAGGTCCCCCGAGCCCCACCAGGAGTGATTCCTGAGTGCAGAAACGGAAGTCAGCCCTGAGCATGGCCAAACCAGAAAAGCCCTGTAGGCTGAGACTGAGGGTACAATGAGGTGAGGAAGGGGGAAGGTGAGTGGGATTTGGAGGCCCACCCAGCAGGGCCCTTGGCATCTTCCTGACTCAGGGTCACTCCTGATGGCGCCGGTGATCCAATCCTGGTCAGCCACTTACAGTCATAAGCCTGTCCACCCACTTCTACCAGCTCTGAGAGTTGCATGCCTTCCCACCCATGGAGTTATTTTCTCTTTATGTATTTATTTATGTATTTATTTATTTTGGTTTTTTTTATTATTTATTTTTTATTAGTGAAACACCATGAGGTACACTTATCGACTTACAAATTTTTGTGCTTGGGTTTCAGTTATACAATGATCAAATACCCATCCCTTCACCAGCGCCCATCCTCCACCACCACGGGTCCCAGCATCCCTCCCAACCCCCATCCCCCCCTGCCTCTGTGGCAGGGCATTCCACCTTGTTCTCTCTCTCTTCTTTTGGGTCCTGTGTTTTGCAAGAGAGGCATTGAGTGGCAATCATGTTCGGTCTAGAGTCTACTTTCAGCATGCTTCTCCCACCCTGGGAGGATCCTCCCAACACCCTTTATTTGGTGCTCTCTTCTCTATCTGAGCTTCCTTTTCCCCTAGCACGTGTGGCTGGCCTCCAAGTCATGGAGCAAAATTCATGGTGGCCACACATGGCAGCGATGCTCAGAGTTCCTGCCCGTGGAGTTATTTTCTCTATTTATTTATGTATTTTGCTTTTGGGGGTCAGACACCCTGCAGTGATGCTCAGAGGTTACTCCCGGCTCCGCGCTCAGGAATTATCCTGGTGGTGCTCAGGGGACCCTATGTGATGCTGGGTCTCGAACCTGGGTCGGCCGGCTGCAAGGCAAATGCTCTCCCTGCTGTCTTATTGCTCCAGACTTATTGATTTTTCCCTTCTTGCCTTTCTGCTTTGTTTTGGGGGGATGAGGTGGACCCCCCCTCAGCACCCATGGGCTTATTGACATCCGCCCGCTCACTCATTGGACAGAACCTTATGGAGGGCGGGACCGGAAGTTGGGGCGGTCCAATCAGCGGGGCGCGCGACGGGCCGGCCCCGCCTCCTCCCCTGCATCTTACCTGAGCATCTCTCCCGTGGTACCCAGGAAAGCCGGCCTCATCCTGGCACAGCTCGGGGACCTGAGCAGCTGGTGCCACGGGCTTCTGCAGGAGCCCAAGATCAGCCTGCGCCGCAGTGGCCTGAAGTACCTGGGCTGCCGCTACAGCGAGATCAAGCCCTACGGCCTGGACTGGTCCGAGCTCAGCCGCGACCTCAGGAAGACGTGCGAGGAGCAGAGCCTCAGTGTCCCCTACAACGAGTACGGCGACAACAAGGACATCTAGCGCCGCCGCCGGGCCGCAGCCAGCAGCGCCACAGGCGATGGGGGTGGGCGGGGGTTCCAGACTCACTCACAGAACAGAGGGCAGGGGGCGCGGACCCTCCGCATGAGGGTAGCCTGCACCCCTTACATAGCATCCCAGTGTCATGGGGGTTCCTGCGGGGCTCGCTACATCACTGTTTCCTCCCCCCCCATTCCCCACCACCCCTCATTAAGACGTTCATTGCAATGCTCAAGTGTTCTGTCGTGGGGGGCAGCCGGACCCCCGAGTTCAGAACCCACCATGTGCATCGTGGATCCTGACGGGGACCCCACTCTTGGAGAAAGCCAAGGATCCAGGAGCCCCCAACTCCATGTGCGTCTCATGGTCTCTCCGCCCTTCTCATCACTATCACCCCTCACGGGGGACCCAGTCGACCCTTGGGTGCCAGAGACCCTGCCCCACCCAGCATTGCTGAGAGGGGTCCGCCCCTCCTATGATGGGCTCTGTTCTCCCAGAGTATTCTGGGAGTATTCTGGGACTGTGCCCCGCCAGCAATGGGGCCATGGGAACATTCTGGAAAGGGATCGAGTGACTTGGGTGTAGAGAGGGTGGGTTTCGGTCCTGGGCGCGTGGCCAAATGCCCCCTTGGACCCGTGTGGGGTCAGCCCCTTCTGCCCTGTTGTCTTGACGCATCTCAAACGATCACCCCCGTCCCCCATCCCCCTCCCCCCCCATGCCCATCGCCCATCGCCTTGTGAAACTTGTGAAATTTTGCATCTAGTTTTGCAAACCCCTTCTCAGGAAGTGCCCCCTGTGGCCGGAAGGAGCCCAAGGAAGGCTCTGCCACCCTTTCCTGTCCCTGGTGCTTTTACCGAACGAAAGGGAACAGTCACTCCTCCTCCTCACTCCTGTCCTCCACGGCCACGTCCCTCTTCTCGGCCACGTTATGTGACCTCCCGTTCTCTGTCACCAACTGACCCTGTCCCATCTCTTCCACAAAGCTCTTGTCCCACGGGGGCTGGGGGGGCACCATGCACAGCTCACATGCCTGTTCTGCACATGCACGCCAACACCATGCTTTGCATCCATGCATAACACAGTACACCATGCATTGCATCCATGCATAACACAGTACACATACTCCATACTAAAAAGGTAATACATGTCCACACTCCATACGGCGGCCGTCCTGTGCATGGTACACACGCAGTATGCATGGCAAAGTACACACCCCACACTAAACATGCAGGAAAGCATGCAAACTACATCCAAACACACAACATTCTCCTTTCGGGATGACACATGCAAACTACGCGTATGCCCAAAATACACACAGCCGCAAACTCCGAACACTATACATGCATGATACACACGCTACAGGCACCATCCACGCTGAACATACACACATACTGTGTACACCCATGTGTGATACATATGTTGTGCTCTACGTACAAGCTCTGCATGCACACATGATGTCTACACCCTTACATCCTCCATTCATGCTCTATGCACTGTACACATATTCACCTACTGTACACACTGTGTGTGCTGTGTATATTCTGTGTGATGCATGCTACATACACTCTACATGCATGACTGTAGGGTGTATGTAGTATTTATAGATGCTGTAAACACTCCATATTCTCCATGCATACTACATGGATATATGTGTATGGTGCACGTTATATATATATATATATGGGCTGGAGCAATAGCACAGCGGGTAGGGCGTTCGCCTTACAAGCGGCCAACATGGCCGACCCGAGTTCGATTCCTCCGCCCCTCTCGGAGAGCCCGGCAAGCTACCGAGAGTATTCGATATGCCAGACACAGTAACAACAAAGTCTCCAATGGAGACGTTACTGGGCCCGCTCGAGCAAATCGACGATCAACGGGAGGGCCTTTACCTTTTACCTTATATATATATATTATACATGCACTATACACATATATACACTTTTATGTACTGAGTATACTCTACATGTGTGATACACCCTACATAAACTCTACAGAATAACATACATACATAACACGCGATATTATCCACACGTGTGTTCCACGCTCTACACACATACAGTGCACACTATAGACACTGTACAGGCATAACACACATAAATGCTGGACACACTCCTCATATTATTCATGCAGACTACATGCGCTATACACACGTAAACATACATACATAAACATCACACGTGAAGCAAGGTATGTGCGGTCTGCATCCATGCTGTAGACAGCACATGCTGTCTACACCCCATAATAGACACGCATGACAGGCACCACATTCCCATGACACTGCATACACGTGCTGTCCACATGCTCTACATGCATGATTCGTGCACATGCCCCCATACGCCCCCACCTCAAGTGCAGGGTCCACTTCCGGGTCAAGGCCCATAAGACAGGGGCTGGACATGGTCTCAAGATTCCCCCAGAACACACTGGGAGCCTTCCTGCCTGAGGGGGTCTCCGTGGCCAATTCCTGCTGAATTCCCCAGAGAGCACCTAAAAGGAGCACCCCGGGCAGTACTGTACCCCAAGTTTCCAAGATTTCATACAAGTCCTGCAAGAACCTTCCTCCCCCAGCACCACCAAGCAGGCTGGGGTTACCCACAGAGCACCCACTTCTCAGGGGTCTGGGAACTGTGCCAGAGCACAGAGTCAAGCCCACAGTTTCCAGTAACCCCCATCCCAATCCTGTGGAGACCCAGAAACCCCCTCACTGAGCCCCTCCAGCAGGAAGATGGTACCAAGGCTGGGTCCAGGCCTAACTGTGTGGCCTCCTGAGAACTCGCCCCTATGCCAACCATCAACCGGGTGACCGACTCAGTAATAATCACAGTGTCCCTGGGCCCTGTGGATGTGGCTCTGACCCTGTGTGTCGGACTATGTGGCGCTACCCAGGGTGACCAAGGACAGTGCTCAGGCACCCAAGACTTGAGCGCCCATCACCCCAACCAGCCTGCATCCCTGAAGCGGTGATGGAGTCTCCCCCTTTGAAGTCACATCCTGCCACTCTGGGGCCACCAGTAGCTGATGCAAGGATTGAGATGGCAGTTAGGGAGGATGGGGGGCGGGGGGGGGGGGTCCCCGTGATTGAGCTGGGATGCACTTCCCCGGCCAGGAGTAGTGTCAGAGAGCTTGGGCTTCCTGCCCCCCACCCCCTCAGCGGCCAGGCCCCTCTGGACAAGCCTCTCTGAGACAGAAGTTCTGCCCTGGGTCCTGGATAGTGTCCACGGGCTGAAGATAAGCATGAACGGAGTCTGGGTTCCCCCCCTCAGCACCACATCGAACCCCCCCCCCGAGCTCTGCTGGGAGCAAATCCCCAACAACGAGGCCTTGAGTCGACCCCGAACATGGCGACGTGTGCCCAGAATAAACAGAAGCTCTCCTCCTTTGAGTTTGAGACCAATAAATGAGCATCAATATCCTATGCAGAGTCTAAAATCAAACTTCTTGGGGCCAGAGCAATACGACAGCTGGGAAAGGTGTTTGCCTTGCACAGTGAGACCTGGGTTGGATCCTGGGTATCCCATAGGGTCTCCTGAGTCCCACAAGGTGTCATCTCTCAGGGAAGAATAGGAGGAACAGCTGAGCACCACTGGGCATGACCAAAAAAGCCAAACTAATTGAATCACTGTCACTGTCCTCCCGTTGTTCATCGATTTGCTCGAGCGGGCCCAGTAACGTCTCCATTGTGACAGTTGTTAAAACTAAATGAATACATAAATAAAATCAATAAACAGGGCTGGAGCGAGAGCACAGTGGGGAGGGCGTTTGCCTTGCACGCGGCGGACCCGGGTTCAATTCCCAGCATCCCATAGGGTCCCTTGAGCACTGCCAGGGGTAATTCCTGAGTGCAGGGCCAGGAGTGACCCCTGTGCATTGCTGGGTATGAGTCAGAAAGAAAAAAAATCAACATTCTCTATATGACATAAAGAGATGCTGACAGTTGGGGTCGCTGCCTGGCACGACAGGGCCCTGGTTCTATTGATGGCCCTGAGAGTCTCCAAAGGACCACAGGGTGGCATCCTAGGGGCCCTGGCACCACTGGGGATGCCCTATCCCCCAGTTAGAGTTAGCTGGAGGCCCTGGGCATGAGAGGCTTGGTAAGAGGGCAGCTCACGCTCTCACTGTTCCCAGTCTCTTTTTTTTATTTTTGCCTTTTTGGATCACTCCCAGCAATGCTCAGGGGTCACTCCTGGCTCTGCACTCAGGAATTTCTCCTGGCAGTGCTTGGGGGACCTTATGGGATGCCGGGGATCGAACCTGGGTCGGCCGCATGCAAGGCAAACGCCCTACCCACTGTGCTATCGCTCCGGCCCCTGTTCCCAGCCTCTTATCTGGCTTGTCTTGAGTGCGCAGGGTGGACGGTCTCTAGTGGTCAGTACACACAGTGGAGGGACTCTGGCCAAGCAACGACTAGCAGGTTGCCCCCATGTCTCTCCATGACACCCCTGAGGGACCCCTAAAGGCAGAAGGCCAGCAGAGGTCTGGATTCTGCTAACCTTGCTAGCTGGGCCTGACCTGGGGTCAGCCCCTGGTGTGGCCTGGTGCTAGGGAACTACCTCATGTCATCTACTAAATGAGGCCTCCCAGGCCGACTTTGAGAGCCTGGAGGCTGACCAGGCACCGGAAGAAGAGAAGAAGCGTCCTGCTGTGTCCTGGGTCACTGGGAGCAGCGGGAGGGACTTTGGGATCAGGTAGAAGTTTGACTTTGTTTCCTACCTGCATAGACAGATGCTAATTTCTTTTCTTTGGTTTTGAGCCATGGGCTGGAGTGATAGCACAGTGGGTAGGGCATTTGCCTTGCACGTGGCCGACCCGGGTTTGATTCCTCCGCCCCACTCGGAGAGCCCAGCAAGCTACCGAGAGAATCCCGCCCACATGGCAGAGCCTGGCAAGCTCCCTGTGACGTCTTCAAGATACCAAACACAGTTACAAACACAGTCTCACCATGGAGACGTTACTGCTGCCCGCTCGAGCAAATTGATGAACAATGGGAGGACCGTGCTACAGTG